CCCCTGCGCCGCGCGCAGCTGCTTGACCCGACCGCGCCGGCGGCCGTACCAACCCCGCGACCTCGCGAGGCGGCCCCACTGTCACCTGTGCGCGCATGCGGTCCATGAGCTCAGGCCCGGTGACGCCCTCTGGGAAGCCCGGGAAGTTCTCCACCTCGGTGGTGCCCATCAGCTGCCCGCCGCGGCCGTTCTGCAGCCCCTCAAACACGACGGGCTTCAGGTTGGCGCGGGCCGCGTAGATGGCGGCCGTGTAGCCCGCGGGGCCGCTGCCAATGATGGCCACGTTCTCGACATCTGATTCAGGGCGTGACGGGGGTAGGGAGGGCAGGGAGGGCATGCGGGCGGCAACGGCGTGAAGGGATCCGCGCGCGAGTCACAGCAGCACTTGCGGCGCCGGGCGCCCTGGTGGCAGCCCTCATTGTCAACAGCGCAGGCACGGTGTCACGCAGAAGGGCGGGCGGAGGCGCGCCTGGCGGACGCCGGGCCCACGCCCCGCCACAGGGCGCGGCGTGGCCAGGGCGCCGGAAGCAGCGGCGCGTCGCGTGCCGCACGTGCAACTGATGGCGAAACGGCAAGCATGCAGCACTGATAGATCCACGGTCAATGCGCAATCGCAATCAGGAGTCGAAAGACACGAAGCCGGCCTCGTGGGGGGCGTCTTCGTCACACGGCCGTGATGGGAGGTGGCAGTCCTTCCGCACCTGCAGTGGCACCGTTGCCGTTGCCGGCACCCGCCACGCGAACCCCACGAGTAATCCTCCGCGCATCCAGCTTAGAGGGCCGCGCGCAGGGGCTGGCCACGCTGCTGGCGCCCGCGGCGATCGCGAGGCTCCCGAGCTGGGCCCGAGTCGGCGTCCTAATGGAGGTCCGCCGCATCAAAGGCACTACATGGTTGCTGCTGGTGCTGGACACGCCGGCCCAGCGCTGTTGCTGAGCCTGATGGATCATTGCGTGCGAGTGCAGTGGACCAGGTCAAGGCTTGTGTGTTGGAAAGCAAGCAATTGCGAATTGATAAGTCGACGTAAAAAATATCCACGCAATGGGTCCCACGAGCTTGCCAACAAAACGGCATGCTCTTGAAATCAAAACGGGCAGCTGTCGGGGCCGTGCAGTGCATGCATGGACCACATCTCGCATATGCTGGTCAGTTGATTGCATTACTGTTCTAAAACGCGCCGACTCTCACAGGCTTTGAGCGGCTGTCGCAGTGATCTGCTTTGCTTGCCACATGTGCAACACTGCTGCCCCGGTGCTTGTAGAGTGACGGCAAGCAGCAGGCCAGCCGACTGACAGGGTTCCTATAAACCTTACATCGGCCCTCAGCGCGAGCTTCGCTCGTCTGTGCGGGATGCCGCCACCCCCTCCGCGCCGCGGCGCACCGCCCCGAGCCGCGCCGGGCTGCCTCCTGCCCGGCCCCGCCGCGCTCGACGCCTCCGCCGGCGCCCTCTCGAAGGTCATCGCCGCCGGCCGCACCAGCGGCGCGCTGCGGCTGTCCGCGCGCGGCCTGGCCGAGGTGCCCGCCGCGGTGTACGACCCTGAGGCGGCTAGCGCGGGCGGCGGCGACACCGCCTGGTGGGAGGTTGCTGAGCTCACGCGCCTGGACCTCAGCCGCAACGAGATCAGGCAGCTGCCAGCGGACCTCTTCGGACCCACGTGCACCGCGCTCACCAGCCTCGATGTCAGGTGAGCCGCGGAGGGCTCCGCGTGTCAGCAGCCGCGCCATGTCAAGTCGGCAGCTGGCGCCACGATGACAAGGGTGACAGCACACCGCTCGCGGCCACATTTGGGGCTGCCGCCGCTTGCCCTGCTGCCGCTGCCGCTGCTGCTGCTGCTGCTGCTGCTGCTGCCGCTGCTGCTGCTGCTGCTGCTGCTGCTGCTGCTGCTGCTGCTGTTGTCGCACTCCCATCCGGCAGACCCATGGCCCGCCCTCCACGCACCACATGCACCGCAGCCAGAACAAGCTGCGGGAGCTGGCCCCTGGCCTGGCGCAGCTGCAGGAACTGAGGAGCCTCTCAGTCTCATGCAATCCCCTCGGCGTCCCCAACGCGGCGCCCGTCGCCCGCGGCATTGGGGGCGTCGGCGGCACCCACTATGGCGCGGACGCAGCGGCCGACGCCGGGCCCGGCGGGGGCCTGCCAGAGGAGGCCGCGGCGCTGCCGCAGCTGGCCAGCCTCGCGTGCGCGGACTGCGGGCTGGAGCGCCTGCCGGAGGCTCTGGGGGACGGCCGGGGCCAGCCAGCGCTGGCGCAGTTGTTGGCGGGCGGCAACCGGCTGGCGCGGCTTCCGGCCGGGCTGGCGGGTGCGGCGGCGCTGGTCAGACTCGAGCTGCAGGTGAGGCCCAATGAGGTATTTCGCTTTCACGGGTGATGGTGGGGCTGTGGTTCAGGTGAGAAGGCGGCCACAAGGAAACTGCGAGGCAGCCAGCGTCAGGCAGTGCTGCTGGGGTGGTGCGACGGCGGCCTCTCGTCATGGTGCATTCGGCGGGTGCGTGCCATCCAGCATCCAGCCGATGCCTCCACCCGCCAACCTCCAAAACCGTTCGCAGGGAAACCGGCTGTCTGGGCTTGATGGCCGCATGGTGGCGGGCTGGGTGTTGCTGCAGGAGCTTGACCTCTCAGAGAATGACCTGCAGGCAGGACCCTCGGGATAAGGGAGGGGGGCAGTGATGAGGGGGCGGTGTGTGCAAGGGAGCACTCTGCATACGTCGTGGCCGGTTGACGGGTCTGCGTGGGCGATGTCCCTGTTCAAGCAGGCGGTGTCTGAAGCAAGGCCTTCTTTGTGCCTGCCATGCAAATGTTGGTGTGGTGAGTTGCTGCGTGGCACAGTGAGGCAGCCATCAGCAAGCGGCTGAGCCCACCATGCACCAACGCACCTTCCCAGACCCCCCCACCACACACACACACACACACACACACACACACACACACATTGCCCCATTACCCCCAGGCCATTCCTGATGAGATCGGGCTCCTGTCAAAGCTCCGCATCCTGCGCGCACGCAACAACCGCCTGTCCGCCCTGCCGGCCGCGCTGGCCGGCTGCGCCTCGCTCGTGGAGCTCCATGCCGGGTTCAATGCCATCAGGGCGCTGCCTGAGGGCCTGGGGGCGTCCAGGACCCTGGCTGTGCTGGAGCTCAGGAACAACCTCATCACGGTGGGTGGGCGCGGCAGCGGGGGAGCACGGCGTGTCGCTGGCTGCAGGGCTGTGTGTGCGCGCGCACGTGTGTGTGCTGTGCATGTGTGCACTGTGTGTGTGCTGCCAGTGCGTGTACGTGTTTAGGTGGGATCCGGTGCATATTTTCGTGGTCGTGCCGGAGCGCACGCAGAGCTCGCAGAGTGGCACCAGGCTTGTGTGTGCGTTCGTGAGTGCAGGTGGTAGAGCCACGGCCCCCATCATCGCAACGCTGCGGCCCCGCAGGACTACCCCGCCGCGCTATGCGGCCTGCCCCTCACCCTGCTGGACCTCACGTCAAACAGGTGGGGCCGCACACACAGGGCTCACATAGGGTACCCTTGCCTGCTCTGTTTCCTGCTCCCTACCCCAATACCAACACCAGAAGGCATGGCACACGAAAGACCCCTGCCCTTGCGCCGCACATCGCTGGTGTGCCACCCTTCCAAGCCCCAGCCTGACACTGGGCGTGCTGCCCCTGGCCTCCCGCCCCACCCCACCCCACCCCACCTCACTCCACCCCACCCCACCTCGCCCCACCCCACCCTGCCCAGCCTGCGGTCATTGCCGGCGGAGCTGGGCCTGGCCACCACCCTGCGCAGCATCCCCCTGGACGGCAACCCCCTCAAGCTCATACGGCGGGAACTCTGGGCAGGTGCGCCCCAACCTCAAGCCCCGTGCGCGGGGAAGTCGCCTCTAAACCCCCCAAACTGCGTGCTTTGATGTACGTCACCCCCTGTGTGTAGGCAGCTGCGCGCGCAGCAAGGCACTGCGGCGGCCCCGGTGCATGTGAACGGCGACCTCACCAAACGACCACCCACCAACCCCCCCATGCAGGCCCTGTGTCAGCTTTGCTCGAGTTCCTGCGCTCGCGCCTGCCCGACCCTGCAGCCCAGCCGGCCGACGCGCAGGGCGCGCCGCTCACCGCCGCCGGCCTCGCGCGCAGCCGCAGCGGCGCCAGCGGCGGCGGCGCCGCGCTCGTCGGTGGCGCCGTCGGCGGCGGGGTCGGCGGTGGTGGTGGGGCGGAGCTGCTGCTTTACGGGAAGGGGCTGTCCCAGCTTCCACCAGGTACCTTTCCGCTCTTCCTGCCAACTGTTATGTGATATGGGGCCCTTGGTTCTCATTCCACTCATGCATGCTCTCCAGCCAGCATGCTCACGTGCATGCTGAGCTCATGCGTGCCACCCTGCGCTTTTGCGGGGTTGTCCGTACCGCCGCGCGTTGTGCGCGCCGACAGCAACACGTGCCTGCCTGACGGTTTTTCCCTGTCGTTCACAATATCAAACACGACACCGCCGTGCGCAGAGCTGCTGGACCCCTCAGTGGCTGATCTCCTCATCCGCGTCGACCTCGGCGGCAACCCCCACTTGGGTGCCGCGCTGTGCGGCGGCCTGGGGCCAGCCCTGCCCCCGATGGCGCGCCTGCGGGCGCTCAGCATGGGCGGCAGCGGCGTCACAGAGTGGCCCCTCCCGGCGGGCGGCGGCGCGATGCCCGCCCTGCAGACCATCGACCTCCGAGGTGGGCGTATACATGCGCACGCCACGCTTGCCACGTGTGCGTGGTTGTCGGGTGCGGGAACGGTGGGGCTGCCGATCATCCCCATCTTCCAGATTGCGACTGGGACGGCAGAGCAGGTGCTCGCGCGGCAGTGCTCGCCGCACTGTCCGCGCCCACCCGGCGCTTATGTGCCCTCCCTCCCCTCCTTCCCCCCTGACCCAAAAATCAACTGGCGCGCAGGCAACCCGCTGGCGCCCATCCCGCCGGGCGGCCTCCGCTGCTGCCCCGAGCTGCGGTCTGTAGACCTGTCCGGCGCCCCCGCGGCCGCCGTCGCCGCGATGCCGCCCGCCCTCCTCGCCGCGGCGCCCAAGCTGGAGGCGGTCAGCCTGGCCAACTGCAGGGCGGCCGCCGCGCCATGGGAGGCGCTGCGGCGCGCGGCGGCGTCGCTGAGGCGGCTGGACCTGTCGGGCAACAGCCTGGAGGGCCTGCCGGCGCTGGTCTCAGAGTTCACCAGGTGAGGGGCTGGCGTAAAGGAGCCGTGCGGGCCACCGCGTCGTGGAGCCGGATGGCGGGCCTAAAATCAGGGGGGGGGGGATGGCATTGAAAAACAGGAAGGCAGCCGCGCGAGTTTTGCTGGCTGTCGCATCCAATGCCGCCGTCATCAACGCATTTGCTGGGGCCTCCCCGCGTCCCTGCGCAGAAGCTCGATTGTGAGCTGTGCAACCATTGCTGCTTCGGTGTCCCCGCCAACCACCCTGCCGCATCACCCCTCTCTGCCGTATCGGCCCACGCCAACGCCCCCTCTCGGCCGCCGCCAAACCCCCAAGGCTGGAGGAGCTGGACGTGTCCAACAACGCCCTCGCCGCGCTGCCCCCGGAGCTGGGGCTGCTGTCGTCGTCGCGTGGCGGGCGGTTGCGGGCGTTCATGGTGCAGGGCAACTGCATCCGGACGATACGGCGGCCGCTGCTGGAGGGGGGGACGGGGGCGCTCCTGGATTACCTGGCGTCGAGGCTGTCGGGCCAGTAAGATGTTGACCGCGCTGCTTCAAATCAAGCGGTTTGCCGACTGGGTTGACCGTAGGGACTCAGCAGCAACACAGCGGCTGGCGGTCAAACTCGTGTGGGTGAGCTGTCAGACGAAAGCGTAGGAATGCAAGCTGTACAGGACATCATGAACCAGCAAGGTGTGACACCTCGGAATTGCTCGATCAAGGTTGATCGTGCGTTGAGCGGAAGCTGTGTGCCATGGTGCAAGGGGCACCGCGATGCACGCGCTGGGCGTGCGCTGGCGTGTGCCTCGTGGTCGTCAGGCCTACAGGTACCGTAATTTGTAGATGAAAGCCGCCCCTCGCGTCCGTACGCTATTGATGCGTTGCGGCGCGTCCCGTTTGACGACACCTTGACGATCGATGTGATCTCCGCGATCGGCGCGTGATGACAAGGCGCATTGTGATGTGAAAAGGGCCGTTTCTTGTACCCGATCTCTCAGGCTAGGCCCCCCGTCGGGTCTATGTGCGCCAACCGGTTACTTCCAGAAGCGGAGGGCATGGCCAGAATGAGGCAGCGCCAGATAGCGTACCGCTGCTCGCTCAAACATTCAGTTGCTTCATTTCCTTATTGCCCCGATTGATCACAGCCACGCTTCAGCACCACCGCTCCTCACAGTCTGATCAGCCGTTCCCGACAGCACACAGGCAGGATGGCGCTTGCGAACAGGATGAGCATGAAGTCTGGCCTGGCTCGCACCACGGTGAGCCTGGATGCCCCTAGGGAGCGGGATGCCCTGGGTGATAGCGCATTGCCCACCAATCACTGGCCACTCCCGCGGACGTGCCTGTGCCAATGGGCCCAGCTGTAGAGCTAGCGAGCATCGTTTACAAGCTTGTGGGGCCTGCAAGCAGTGCTCCGGCGCATGGGAGCATGGCGCCCGCTCGCCATCTCCACACCCCTCAAGCACCCCACACACCATGGGCATGACGCCTGGCACGCTTGTCACTCATTGAGGGGGGGCCCATCAGCTGCCGGCGAGCATCCCACATGCCTGATCACCGCCGTGTGGCAGACGGCCACCACCGCTCCTCAGCCACCTCTCTCCTGGCTGGGCCCCTGCGACTCGCGCCAGTGCCCCCCCTCCGCCGGCCCGCGTCTCCACCGCTTTCCCTCCCCGCCCCCACCATACCCACCGTACCCACCGCCAGGTCAGCCGCCGCTGCGTGGTGGTGCGCGCCGCGCTGGAGCTGAAGCCGCCGCCGTACGCCCTGGACGCCCTCGAGCCCCACCTGTCCAAGTCGACCCTGGAGTTCCACTGGGGCAAGCACCACCGCGCCTACGTCGGTGAGGGCCAGGGCGTGGCGGCACTAGGGTCGGGGGGAGACTAGGGGAGAGTAGGGCCGGGGAGGGGGTAGGGGAGGGGGTAGGGCGGATACTAGCGGAATCGAGGGCAGCGCATGCATGTGTACAGGCGCACTGCCACAATGGCTCGTTTGATTGGTGGCTACGTCGAGGGTGGGGCCCTGGAGGCTCGCAGCCGCGCCCTGCAGCGTATGGCCAGACCGCCGTCGTGGCTGCGTGTCGCGAGCGTAGGCTCACATATTGTGCGCTGCGCGCCGCCCCGATCGCCCGTCCATTCGTCCACTCCACCCCCGCAGACAACCTCAACAAGCAGATCGCGGGCACTGACCTGGAGGGCAAGACCCTGGAGGACATCGTGCTGGCCTCCTGGAACGGCGGCAGCCCCACCCCCGCCTTCAACAACGCCGCCCAGGTGTGGGGAAGTGCCTGAAGCGCGTGTGAAAACGCGAGCGCAGCGCGATTGCCTACGTTTCGGCGCGGCTTGGATAAGGGGGTGCAGTTATGGGGTGGGGCGCGTGCAGCAATCAGACGAGTTGCGGGTCACATCTGCGCCTCGGCGCCACGGTTCTGCGCCCAAGTGTCCGCGGTCTCCCTCAACTCACATTCAATGCAACGGCCGGCGGCTCTGCCATCCCCCTCATGATGGCCCAGATCTGGAACCACACCTTCTACTGGGAGAGCCTCAAGCCCAACGGCGGCGGCGCCCCCACCGGCAAGCTGGCTGACGCCATCAACGCCTCGTTTGGGTCCTACGACGAGTTCAAGGTGGGCCCAGGGGGGGGCTCGGCGGGAGGGGGTGCCTGGATTTTGGGGCGGAGGTGGAGGTGCAGGGGAAGGTGCTTGCTGTGGTGGCTGCGACGAGGCCAGGTTTGAGCAGGGACGCAGGATTTTGTGGGGGTGCCTGAACGCATGAGCGGTCCGATTTTTTGGCTGCACATCACGGCAGGTGATTTTTCGTGCCACTCAGCACTGAAACTGCTGCAGCCATGTGATTCCAGCCTCGCCTGGACGCCCGCCTGGCCAGGGGATGCCACACCTCTTTGCGACGTCCTGTCCCGCAGAACATTCTCGGGCCGCCGCCTGACCCACTGCCTGTTCACGTGGAACGCACCCCACC